TAGGGGTTTCAGTTACACTTGAAGTCTCATCCTTAACTCAACATACTTAACTTTGTTGCGCGTCTGCTGCTGTAGCTGTGGGCTGCCCTTGTGAAGGGAAATCCCGATAGTCCACAGCCTTAGACACAGTCCAGCCACTTCCCTGGTGTCAGATCTGTGCAGTTGCAGAGTGAGTTGTGTCAGTGAGCTGGTCTTATGGAAAACTAAGGCTGAATAGCTTTCTGTAGCTGAACTGACTCACCCCCTTGATTACCCTGTGGCAAATCCCGCACTGGGGAGGCGTGTGGGGTACATCTGTGGGAGGCACTGAGTCAGCATTGCCCCTTTGGGTAACAGGGTGCAGTTCCACTGACCGAGGTAAAATGTTTTCTCAAATTTCTGGCAGGTAAATTTCTGTCATGATAATGTTTCTGCATCTTCCGATATGACTATTCAGTTGCTTAACTCGGTTTTTAAGTCCTGTATTAGCTGTAAACCGCAGTCTGACGCATGGTTTTGAGAATTTGGGGAATAAAGGCTAATTATTGTTGCTCAAGCAGTGTTTTACCGAGGGGTTTTCTGTAGTGGCTAAGTTAGCATAACAAACTTTTTTTGCCTAACTTGGCTTTGGAGATTAAAAATGTAGGAATAGTTTTACTGTCTTTAATGACTTAAGGATGACTATGGAAGTTCAGATCAAAGGTCTGTTTACTTTGTTGTCCTGTGAGATAAGGGTCTGTAGTAGACACCTGGGAGAAAAGGTGTAAAACACCAGTGGAAATACAGCGTGACACCTTCTGTTAAATCTTCCCAGCTTCTGACAGTCCATAGCTGAGGAGCTTCTTGAGGAGTCAGGGATGGTATCTGTATCACTGTGTATTTAACAGCTCAATGGACCTCCTTCTATGGCTTTTTTTTTTTAACATAGCTTTCCAAAGCTGTTTTGAGCTTTTTTACCTTCACAACATCCTATGGCAATAAGTTCCAGGGTTAAATTATGCATTTTATAAAAACTTCCTTTTGTTTGTTCAGCTGCTGCAGCTGGTGGCAGTGGGTGACTTTGTTCTTATGTTACGGATCTTCTCCATGGTATACGTGACTTCATACGGCACTAGTATACTTTGCTACATCCCATATTCTTTTTTCAAGATGAACACTTAGTTTATTTACTCTTTCCTTGTACGCAAACCGTTGCATTAATTTAGTTGGTTTAAACAGCATACATCTCTGTACCCTTTCTTGTTTTATAGTATTGTGGTGGACCAGAGCTGTATTTAAGTTATAGAGATACTATGGAAAAAATAAAAGCCATCTGTTTGTTGCCGCTGCCTTTTCTAATTTTCGAATATTCGTTTTCTTGGACTTCATGACTTGGCTGATCCTTAATCTGAAGTTGTTAGCTGACTGTCATCTTTTACTTGTCAGTGGGAATAGCTAATCTAGAAGTCATTTTTGTGCAAGTATAATGACGAGGTTTGGGGTTTTTATTATTTTGACTGAGGGTAGCTTTTGCATTTGTTAGCACTGGATTTCACCTGCTACTTTAACATTTGGTCATCCACAAGATCATATGGTAGCTGTTTGCTATGAGTTCAAGTTTTGACTACCTTGAATAATTTTGTATCCTCAACAAACGAAGTTCACTCTTCATGCCTTTTGTGAAATCGCGTGTACATCGTGTTGAGTAGTGTGGGTCCTAAGTCAGATCCCTGTGGGACACTTGTGATACTCCCTTCATAGTGAAAACCAATAGTTTGTGTACAGCTGTTTCTTGTTTCTTAATTCTTGAGCACTTCTGAATCTTCAAGAGGAGTCTCCTAGCTCATACTACCTTTGTTTAAAACAAAAACAACCCTTGATGAGGTGTCTTTACAAAGGATATTCAGATACGGTGTGTTAACTGGACTACCCTATGTTTATGGCTAATTGCTTCAAGGAGCATAGATGCATTTTGGAAAGATTACTTCCTTCTACCAAAGCAATGTTAATTCTTTTCGATTTCCATATTTATGCAAACTCCACCAATTTTGTTCTTTATTATAGCTGTTATCAATTTACCAGACTTGGGCATTTGCTTTACTGGTCTGTAGTTCTCTGGATCTCTTCCCTTCTTTCCTTCCTTGATCTTTAAAGGCTTGGTTTGTGTTTGCTGCCTTCCATTCCTCTGCTACTGAGGCTGTGCCAAGTACTATGTTGCATGCTATAGTTAAAATTTAAATTGAGTATCTGAGTTCTTTGAACTGACAGGTATCACGTAATCCTGGCAAATCACAAAGATATTGTGCTTGGTCACTCTCTCTGACTATTCTGCAAGTTGTAGCATCGAGATGAATTATATTTATAGCAATGCCCAGGAGAAATGTTGTATTTAAAGGAAATGGAATAGTCTGCCACTTCAAGACTTAATAGAAGTTGTTACAAGAAAAGGAAGGTATGGAGTCCATGTGAGTTGCAGATAAATGTATTGACTCTTCTGTCGACAGAAGAGGTAAGTATCTAAGGTCGATAGGATCTCAGTGATGGGCGGCATGGAAAAGGTGGGAAGGTTGTTTTCTGTTTCTCCTCGCACAGGAGCTAAGGGCTATACAGAAAAAGCAAGCAATTGGCAAGGTCATAACAAATGAGAGTGATTCGTCACACTGTAACTGAGCTGTACAAATAATTTCTGTGGGTTTTTGTAGAAGTTGAGATTAGATGGCTTACGGAAGTGACTAGAGAAGTCTAAAAAATCCATTTAAGGCTTTTAAATGCAAATAGTCCCTGAGACACAAACTGTTGGAAGAACGTCTTGGTTGAGTATTACTATGTAATATTTGCCTTTCTGTATTCTTCCTTATTGGCAACTCTTAGATACAGGTTTTGGGGTGGGATAGGCTGTCATCGATTTTTCTGTCGTGGTTTAACCCCGGCTGGCAACTAAGCACCACACAGCCATTCACTCACTCTCCCCCCACCCCCCCCGGTGGGATGGGGAAGAGAATCAGAAAAGCGAAAGTAAGAAAACTCATGGGTTGAGGTAAGAACAGTTTAATACTTGAAATAAAATAATAATAACAATAATAAAATGTAATGGAAAGTAAAACAACAAGAGAGAGAGATGGTGAAAAACAAGTGATGCAACCACTCACCACCCACTGACCAATGCCCAGCCAGTCCCTGAGCAGCGGTTGCTGCCCCCCTGGCCAACTCTCCCCAGCTTATATACTGAGCGTGACGTCATATGGTATGGAATATCCCTTTGGCCAGTTTGGATCAGCTGTCCTGGCTATACTCCCTCCCAGCTTCTTGTGTATCTCCTCGCTGGCAGAGTATGGGAAGCTGAAAAGTCCTTGACTTAGTGTAAGCACTACTTAGCAACAACTAAAACACCAGTGTGTTATCACATTATTCTCATGCTAAATCCAAAACACAGCACTGTACCAGCTACTAGGAAGAAAATTAACTCTATACCAGCTGAAACCAGGAAATTTTCTTAAGTACTTGTGCTGATTCCACAGATGGCATCCCTAGATGCTGCTTGGAGTGTATGGCCCTCTGCTAGAAATTCTTGTTGTCAAGAGGAGCAGCTTTAACTCCTGGGTTCTGCTGCATGAGCAGCAGTTACATTAGCAAAAGAGCTCACACTGAAACAATCTTTGCCAGTCACTGAACTGTTACAACTCGTAAAAGCACGTGGTAGCATACTTGAGTCTTCATCAGAAGGTCCCAAGCTCTGGTGCCTGTGGACAGACACATTCCTGACCTTACAGGGCATCACCTACCGTAGGCATGGACTCCTTGGCATTGGCTGGCTGTATGGAGGAGATAGGAATAGGATATCTCTGTATGGGTTCCATTGATCAGATGGTGGCCGAAGCTTGCTCTGTTCAGTGTCTGCTGTGGAAACCCAAGACTTGCCTTCTGGATCAGGACACCAGATCAGGGCCCAGGCAGTGCTGGTGAGGTAGTATGTGCTGCAAGTGAGAGGCTGGATTTAGGACTCTTGTTTTGTGAAGGCTGGAGCGTGAGGGCATTGAAGTTAGGGCATCTGCAGCGGGGAAGGTGATGGCATGAGGCTAGAAGAATCCTGGACTATGGAGATGAGAATATTTAGGAGAAGAGGAGGATTTGAGATAGACTGTTGGGCCTGGCTGCTTATAGTAACACCCTTGCCAGCTTGGCTACCCAAGGCCATTATATAGCCTATCAGCTGATGAATCAGAACTATGAAATTCTTCAATAGCTAGTTTCTTGGAAAAGTTATCTTTATTTCTTTCAGATTGTGTCCCCAGGCATTACTATGAATAAGTAGAATTGGCGTGGATTTCATTTTTGTTGTTGCTTGTAACCTGCTGGAGGCCATCTTTTATTAATATTTGGAATATGGAAATTTTTATAGATATTCCCATAAACTGTAAGTTTGAATTTCTTACAGAAACTTACTGCTGAACATCAGCATGATGCTGGATGATTGGGGTGGGAGTGGACTGCAGCTAAGTTGTGTGGGGTGGTTTGTTTGTTTGTTTTTCTCCTGTTGGAAAATATCTGAACACCTGTGACGTTTCCCAGCACCTCAAGTGAATCTTTTTCCCTTGACAGGCAAGATGTTTCTCTCCCATGAGTTGGCGCAGGTGCTAATCTGGTCTGGTATTGAACTGGTTTGGCTTGTGAAACTTGCAGCAAACTTCCTGCTGCTTGTTGGATTCATTTTCTGCCAGTTCAGCTGCTAGAACTGAATTTCTGTGGGGGTTTAATGACCCCCTGAGTGAAAGGTGTGCGAGGTGGTGTGGGAGAAGGGAGTGTGGGAGACTTCCCTCCTGAAAGCTTGCTCTGATCTCTGGGTTTGCTAATCCCGAGTGGGCATGGTTTACCTAGACCTGTGCCATGTGTCTTGCCCTTAGGTGTCTGCCTCTCCCTTCATAGGGATGAAGGGGATGCCAGGCTGCTGGCCTGGCAGCTGCTGAATGCCCTCAAGTTACAGGCTGTTGCATTAAATTGGCTTCAGTTTTCTCTTCCTCGTCCGAAGATGCTGGGCCCTCCAGCTGCCCTGCTGCTGCTTAGGCAGCTCCACTAGCCCTGCAACAGGAGGAGTGGTCAGTCACCTGAGCCTCGTCCCTGCTTCCTGGATAAAGTCCTATGCCTGCTTTTTCAAAATGGGTTTTATAAATGGTGGAGGATCCTGGATCACATTATTGCAGGTGCCTGGGAGAGAGGGAGAGATCCAGCCCTAGGCTCCTTTTTAACAGTATTTGTACTGGCTGAAATCAAAATGGTAAGCTATGAATCGAAAAGGGTTCGCTTGGGAGGAGCTGTAGCTCAGGGGGTGTGCATGCAGTTTTGTGCTCTTCAGTGAATTTTTAAAATGGAAGTATTGAAATGAATTCACCCTGATCTAACTGAAACCTGAAATCTTGGTTTTGAGGGCTTGTTCATTTCTGCTAACTATTTTGGAATGACTTTTTTCCAGTTTGTAATTCTAAATGAAAGCTTCAGTAGGCTATATGGAAATTCAGTAAGCCTTTTCTTAATTTTTGGCACTTTCCACAGTATATTCAGGAAGGAATATGATTTCTGATAAATCCCTTCGTACCAGAAGGGTGTAATGCTCCTTTTTTTTCCCCTTCCTTTCTTGTGTTTGTTATCTTTCTTTTTCCCTCTCCCACTTTTTTCTACGCATCTAATCATGCTTAGTCAAATTCTGACCCATGCCAGAAATCTTAAAATAGCAATTCCCCTTCAGTCTTTCTATTCCAGCTACTAATGCATATTTAATGCTACAAGCATTTTCCTGTTTCTTCTGTTAATATGTTTATTTAAAAAAGTGTGTGCACACACAACAAAATGAGACTCCTAAGCATGCTAAGTGGTAGGTGAAATAGTGTGTTTGAGGTCAGTGAGGCTGTTTCTGTTGCTCGTGCTTTGTAGTTTGTTCTCCATTGATACTGAGTCTGTGCATCATCTGATCACTTGGCTGTATGCATTTGTTCCAGATGAAACGTGAGCATGTGATAGCATTTAAGTTGTGGTTCGAGCATGTGGTAGTGTAGTAGAACAGCCAGCAGGCTATTTTAAGAGGGCAGATGATAACCTCATGTAGTACAAAATCTTTTGCAGTAAGATGACTCCTTCTCCCTGCCCCCAACTCTTGCTCTCTGACATGCTCTGGGTGTGTCTGTGTCTATGAATGCTCCCGTTTAGAACAAGAAGTCTGTCTCGGCAATCTTACTATGTGTCTGTGATACTTTGATTTGATAGTAGTGACTTAAACTGGTATTTAGCTACTATTTTCCCTGTTTTGCAAAGGGAGAGCTGAATTGCAGGTAACACTACCTATTTTGGACCTAGAGAAGTTGGTTTTCCTAGTTTGTTTGGGGTTTTTTCCCCAATTTTTTCATGGTATAAATTAAGCTTTTGCTGCATTATATAGGCCTCTTCTCACTCCATACAGCATGGCTTTTGAAACTAAGTTGATACTATAGAAATTAGTTGAGAAATGTTGGCAGAACATGTATCTAGACAGAAGGCATCTGAAACCGGTTATGGCAAGCCATCCTTTCTGTGTTTTTAGGTAAGAGTATGGAGATGTTCACAGTTTAGCTGATGTGTACTTCTTTATTTTAGAAAATAAATCTAAAATTCAAGTGTTCCAAAAGGAGACATCTCCCTTCCTAATGTTTGAAACGTAGTTGCAAGTTTCCTGAATACATCAACTCCCTCTTCCTTAGGATCTGGTTTATTCTGAGCCTTAAAAAATTCAGTGTGTCACTAATGAGTTCAGCCCTTGGCAGTTTGTAAAACCTTGCACAGAGATGATTCAGTTCTGAATGTTTATGTTCAGGATCTGCTTTCAGACCCTGGCCAGGCTGGTTGGGCAGCCTGTTTTGGTAGTCTTAAGAGACTGTTATTGTCCTGTCATTTTGATTTCTGCCGTGACTATGCGTGATCTGCTTGAGGTCAGTCTTCATTTTCAGTGCTCTGGATAATTTCAGTTAGCATGAAGTCTTCATCTGACGTTTGTGCAGAGTCATTTTTTGCATTGTTCTTTCATTAAAGCTGTTTCCTAACTTGTTTCTTTCTAACTTATTATTGGGGAAAAAAGAAAAGTCAGGAAGAAATCGTATGAAATGATGGAGCCATAATGTATGTTTATACTTTAAGATGGGAAACAGTTTGCAGGTTCCATTACAGTAACTCTGCTTGCAAGTATGACATTTATCTATAAATTATGGAGGAGAAGGTGGATATCTGCCTGTGAACTTTATGTAGTACTTCAGGGCACGAGAGACACCCTCTAAGCTGGAACTCAGGAAGGCTTGTGTTCTTCATGCTGCTCTGTCACAGTGGTGTTGAATGGGGTGGTGGAAGGATAGGTGCCCAATGGAGTCTGAAGTAGCAGGAGCTGTGGGATGAAGGAGTAGCTTCCCAAAACCAGGATTTACCACTGTGATTTAAAAAAAGAAAAAAGTGTGGCCACTCAAGTGACCAGCCACTCCCATGACTTGCAGTTGTTCACATGTAATGGGAATCATAGTCTTGCAAACGTGACCAGCTGATACTGTTGTAGACATCACCTGAATTTGTAAGACCAAAATCTGCCATTTCTTTTTTTTTTGGTAATTGCAAGTTATTAACAGACTGATTCAAACTAATTATCAGCATCTGTCTCAGAAAGGCTTAAAAACTGACTTCACAGGCTTTCTCCTGCTACATTGATCTTTAATGAACTATTCATACAAGAAGAAACTGGTTTCATTAGCGTCTACTCTGAGGCACGATCTTGGAGTAGGTGTTACTATTGTTCTTGGGGGGGAAAAAGCAGGACCTAGGAGCTGCTTTTCTTCTCTGCAGCCTGTTTCTTTTCGGAGAGTCTCCTGTTAGTTCTGTGGGTTTTGCTGTTGTTTGCTTTTGTTTCTGAAATTTGGGCCAGCCTTTTTATTAGCTATGGCACTGTATTCAATCCCCATGGCAGTTTTGGCTCCTAGTCCACTCACACCCTTTGGTGCTGAATAAGTTTGTCATCTGTGGTGTCTAAAAGAAATGTTATGAAAGCAGGAGCCTTCTTTTTAGCAAAAGGTTACTGACACATCGCAATTTTTCTGTAATATCTATGCTGATAAGCACTGTAGAAGTATATGTTTGGGTTTTTTTTCATTACAGGGTCAGATGACACAATAACTTTCAGGAAGAAGAATACTTTGTGACACTTGAGAAACTTCTTGCTGTTTTTTTGCGAGGCCGTTCTGTCAGTGCAGAGACTTGAGCTTTGACGTCTGGAGCATTGCTAGGGTCCATGGCTGGCTTAGTAGAGCACAGAAGATTAAGTAGAACCCATCAGCAAATTTAGGAAATTAATTTAACTTGTAGTTAACTGAGCACCTAGTCTTGGTCATCCAAATGTATCGTTGTTATTCTGTACAACAGGCCTTCCATCTAAGCAGGTGGATGTTGTACTCCAAGACGAGTGAAGTGCTTGGGTCTAATTTTTACACCTCATTCAAATGCCTTTGGTTTTTTATTCGTAGGAGTTGGACCGTTGGCAGAAGCATAAGGCGGAGCTTTCAGTTCTTATTTTTAGAAAGAAAAGCCAGTTATAGTTCAGTAGGATATCCTTCACCTTTCACTTGTGGTTTTCCCCAGAATGGGTAACTATTTAACCATGTCCTTGTTTATCAGGTGCGCTGGCAGTCTGTGATGGCTTGTGCACTTATGAGCCAAAAATTAATTTTCACCATTTTTATCGCTGAGTGCTTCCTCTGCTTCATAGCAGAGCTGTCTGTATTTATTTCCAAGCATGTACTTTGTGGGTTTTTTCCTCAGTCCTGTGTGTTGTCTGTCTTACACGCAGTATTCCCCATGCTTTTTGACCTGGATTTCCACAGCTGTGTTTCCTGATTTATTTTAGGAGAGTAGTTTACATAGTTCTTGCCTGTGTATATCAGAAAGAGAGGTGAGTTTTACTGGGCTAATCTTCCTCGGGGTATGTTTCTGGCCAAGTTTCCCTGTCGAGGTGCCTCTCTTCATTGGCACTAGAAGGTCCTTATGCAATTGCTTTGTTCCGGCTAAACAAGTAGGTGTAACCCGTTGCATTGGCAAGTACCGAGGCATCTCAAATTCAGTGTCCCAATCAAATTTTATCTTTGGTAATTTCATTCCGACAACTTTTATTTGTGCCTGTAGTTCCAGGAGTGTGAGCTTCCTTAAGCCTTAGTACTCAATCATGTATTAATACTGTATGCCACTGAATGTCTCTCTTTCAGTGGCAGCTGAGATTGTCACTGGTGGTATTGTCTATAAGAGTCAAAACCTACAAAGCAATTTGGAAGTGATTTAGAATGAAGGTGTGAGATGTAGTTCTTGTTTTGCTGTGCAGGTAGAAATTTGGAACAGGCTTATGTTTTCTTACATGCTTATACAAGTGTAGGCAGTGCTAACCTTTCTATTTCTGTTTTTTAAATTGCTTCTTGGTTTGCTACTACTAGAAGTTTAGAGTTAAAAATACCAAATTCTACGACTTTCTTACTAAAGAATTCATTTGAGAATGCTAACTTGCTGTGTTACATTCTAAAAAAGAAACAAATTTGGAAAGCTTCAGAAATTTGTACGGTTCATCTCCAAAAAGGAACCTAGTGTTTCTTTGTGTAGATTTTTTTTCATGCCATTTTTGCTGGGGTTGGTGAAAAATAAGTTATATATGTTTAGTTTTGGCAATGTTTAGATGTTGACCTTGAAGCAGTGGCTTAGGTAAAATGTTATGTAGTATTTTGAAGTTAATGCTCTGCAGAATCATTAGTGCTTTGATGAGGCTCGTTTGGGCGAAAAGTTCTTGGAGCTGGAAAACTTTAGTACATCTTCAGGGACTCTAAAACAAGTTTTTGTTTTTTTCTTTTAACCTTTGTCCGCTTAAGATTTGTGTCATAAATGTGTGTTCAGATACATGCATGCACACGCATATGTGCACACAGACACTACAAACTTCCATATGCATTTTTATTACTGGTTGTGCCTGTTTTTGTAGATAAGATGTTAGGTTTTAAAAGTATTACTAGCTGTAGGAATTAAATAAAGCTTTCTAGGTGATGTGGTGTTTTTAGTACGATTAAGTTTTTACTCTTGAGTAACAGGTTTATATGAGCAGTAAAATTTATTCCAGATCTCGTCTTAAGTTTTATATATTCTTTACCACTGAGTTTTAATTTCTCGTGTGAGCTGGTACCAAATCACACAGAAATCCTGCACTGCAGGTCTGTTCTCCCAGTTATTTTCAAACTTTTC